CAGCATCCAGAATCTTCTGAGGGGAAATTTCCACTTGAAAGGACAAGCAGATCAGCCTGGAGTGGCCAGAAGAACAGAAGATACTTCCTGAAAGAAAGACTGACAGGAAAAGTACAAAACAATATAGGCAGGCTGACTGATTACTACAAGAACAAACAAGTGGCTTGCCAGGAAACATCAAGACAAGTGGTTGGGATGCCTCAGGGCAAACCCCCTTCTAAAACTAAAGCTCAATGGGAATGCACGCTCTGGTGACCACGTTTGTCACCGATAAGGGGAAGTGAGGGAAAATCAGCAATGAAGCTGCGAGCTAAGCCCTAAAATACTCAATAGACTCCTGTGAACCCCGATGGAGACCTGGTTGGCCAGCGGTGTACCACGTCCAGGGGTCTTGGACCCAGAGTCAGCAACATAGCCACAGAGGACTAGAGTGGAGAGTGAAGCGTCCAGCTGATAAGAAGAGAGGGAGCATGTATAAGTACACCCACACTTGCAGATAATTCCCACTTGACCTGGATTCAATGGCTGGATGATCAGAGCTCAACTAGAAGAAGAAAGAGAGAAAAAAGAATAATCTAATACAATTTGATGAACTTGACATACACCTATGGAAGCAGTAGCTCAAAAGAGTGAACAAATCTTCACAGCGAGGATCATTCCCACCTCCTCCGCCCATGGAGAGGACAGGGATAAGTAACTTGGACATTGGCTACCCAGAATGGGGGAGCTACAGAGGCAAGAATTGACTGGCTTACAAATTTTCAAGAGGGGACGTAGATCCAGAGGGAGTGGAGCAAGTAGAATCTCCATTGAGTAGTATCCATTCTGCCTAGTCAGGGCTGATGAAAGATGAGGATAGGTCTTTTGCGATACTATAGTGAATAATTATTATCAAGACTGATTGTAAGGGCTGGAAATGTAAAGTTAGACAATTGGGGGCAAAGGGAGGGGAGTGATTAACCTTGCAGTGTAGGAGTGGAGGTCCCTGGGACCATCAAAGGAGAAGAGCAGAGAATGGAACCCTACCCAGAGAAGCAGTGATGCCAGGGAATGGAGGTAGAGATGATGATGTGGGGAGATGGAGCGGCTGGGGACTATGGACCCAGAGAGGGAGAGGGGCTGTATGCAGATGACTGGAGGGCAGGCTTGTGGGGTGTACCCTTTGGTTGATGGATGATGCATGGAGGGGATTGTAACCATGGCAAGGAAATGATATACGACAGGATCAATGTGAAGCTGATGTCCTCCCATGTGAACTATCACATAAATCACAATAAAGCATTAAAAAAAAAGAAAGAAAACGCAGGTAGTGATCATCACCAGCCTCACAGAGAAATTGAGGGATCGCTACCTCTAAAAGGCCATGGATTCCTCTCTCTATGTCCACATAAGGGATTTGCCTTAGAACTGCCACCCCAGGCCTGTCCCCACCCTGTGAAAATCAACGTTCTCTCCTGACACTCACTGCCACCCTTTTAAAATGGGAGATGCCAAGTGGAAAGGAGGCACTAGGCTGTCTCCAGTGTCTGCAAGGGAGAAAGAAGTGCAATAAAATATCTGGCAGCTTGGGACTTGTGGACAGTTTGGCAGCGACTGTCTTAGGCCCTGTCCCCCAGTAATTCCTATGTTGGCATTTCCTCCGTCAGCCAGCTCTGTGGCACCTGTAGACTGCCAGGTATACCCATGCACTGCAGTATGGCTAGTACCTTGTTGTTCTTGTTAAGTGCCACCAGAGACCCTGTAGAGGGTTTCTGAGGAGCAGCTGGTGGATTTGAATCCCCAACCTTGCAAGTAGTCCAGTACTTATCCTGCAATGCCATACCAGGCCTAGTAGCTTACTTTTTTTTTTTTTTTTTCCCCATTGCAAATGTAGTTTACTTTTTAAACTTAACATTTTTATAAAAGGAACTCTCATGTCACAACCAACCAACTAACTAACTAACTAACTAACTAACTAACTAGCTAGCTAGCTAACTAAACAAACAAACAAATAAATAAAACTAATGATCTCATCTGTAAACATCTACTCAGTGCACAGACACACACACAGAGAATCTATGGCTGTAATCTGTCCCTCAGTCATGCTGTGGGTCCCTTCTCACTACTAACCCTTTCCAGACCTGAGGAGGATCTTGCCAAGTCCACTGTCCCTGCTGGTTTGCCTTTGCTTGTGCTTCACCCCCACTTAAGACCCTTTACAGTGTGTTCTGTAGTTATGCTCTATACTCTTAACCAGACCTATTTTCCTTATTTTCTACATTTAATTTGTACAACCCCTAGTGGTTATCCAACACAGTAAATAACAATAATAAAAACAATGTAAGATTACTACTTTGGAGGAAATAAGGCATGCAAAACTTATAGGAATTATAGACTAAAATACGGGCCGCGAGCTTTGTAGGTAACAGAAAATTAGCCAGGCAGGACTGGGGTCATTCGTGCTTGAGGAATAGTTTTTGTTAAGTGCCGTTGAGTTGGTTCCGACCCATAACGACCCTTGCTTAATTGGAAAGAAGCAGGAGGAGGTACCAGGTTAGAAAGAAGGCAGAGAAGTCAGTGAATCTCAAAGAAATGAGATGCCCTTGTGGCGGCAGCTGCTGGGTCTGGAAGCTGGGATGGGATGCCTGAACTGGATGTTATTACTGAAGAATGTTAATGAGGACCAGTATTGGATTAAGAATTTGAATGTCTGTATTCTCATTCTGTCCATTTGAATTTTTGGGAAATCAATCAAGGCACCTGAATCTGTGTCCCTTTTCTCATCTACTGAAGGTTACCGTCTGTAGAAGTGTGAGCTCCTACTGTTTGTGCTTCACACTGTTTTATAGTCTGCCATATGTGAGATGAGTCAGTTAAGAGCTGAGAGCATTCACAACAGTACAGAATGGAATATCACACACAATCAGTGAGAAACTAAGCATCATGATTCCTCCCAAAACTAGGAGTCCCAGTGTCCTGTAGGATAAAGCACTGGACCACAAGATCAGTTTGAACTGCAAGGTCAGCAGTTCGCAGTTCAAACCCACCAACTGCTCCTTGGAAACTCTATACAGGGTCACTATGAGTCGGAATCGATTCAATGGCACTTGACAACACAACAAATTTAGTTATTTAGGGTCCTGGTGTGTCATTTTAGGATAAGCACTGGACTTATTTCATCACAAGATCAGTGGTTCAAACCCACCAACCACTCCTTAGAATCCTTATACAGGGTTACTATGAGTCGTTCGGATTTAATAATTTAACTTTTAAGAGGCTGAAATTTCTTAATGAAAAACTTGGGACTGAGACTTAAAGGACTTGAGAGTTTCTGTTTTAACTTGACATTGTGAGGCGACAATAAGATCTTAAGGCTTTCTTTTTAGTTGTGCCTGGTTCCAGCAGTTAGTAGTTCCAGATGACAGTAGACAGTCTCAAAGATGCTGACCTGGATAAAAATCTGGGCAGGCAGCACAGATGATCAGACAAGACACAGCAGGCGAGAACAAACAGCTTCAACCATGAATCTTAGAGAAACAATGCCCTAAGTCTCCAAGGCAGCATTCAGATCTGGGTCAAAATGTGAATGATCAAGGCTGTTCCTTGTTCTCATGCTGGTGTCCAGTGGAGAGAAAGTGTTTTGCTTTCTTTGTATTGCAGTAAGACAGGCTGATCTTCTTAAAGACAGTTTTAGTTTATTTTTAAACAAGATTCGGATAATAAAATATACAATCAATTTGAAATCCTGATTTTTCATACAATATAATATTTTAAGTATTTTTATGTATAGGATTTTTGAGACTTTTTCATTCTTTTTGGGAGCAGAAAACCTCTCGTATTTCTCCAGTGGAGCAGCTGGCGGGCTCGAATCACCAAGCTTGTGGTTTGCAGTCCAGACTCTATGAGTCATCATGCTCATTCATCATCGTTGTTGTTGTTAAGTGGTGGTGGTGGTTCTGTGCCGTGGAGTCAGTTCTGACTCACAGTGACCCTGCGTAGGGTTTCTGAGGCTGTAAATCTTTATGAGAGCAGAAAGCCTCATCTTTCTTCTGCTGAACAACTGGCAGTTTCCAACTGCTGACCTTGAGGTTAGCAGCCTGACTGGTAACCACTTAACACAAATTAAAACCACAATGAGACAATATTTCCTCAGGAGAAAGATGAGGCTTTCTACTCCCGTAAAGATTTACAGCCTCAGAAACTTTGTGCAGGGTCGCTATGAGTTGGAACCAACTCCATGGCACATAACCAACAACCACCAGAGTTGTTATTGTTGTTACATGCTATGGAATGCGTTCTGATTCTTAGCAACCCTACATGGTGCTGTAGGATGAGCACTGGACTGCTAACCAGTGGACTGCTAAGGTTGGTGGTTCAAACCCACCAGCTGCTCCTTGGAAACCCTATGCAGGGTTGCTATGAGTCAGAACTGACTCGAAGGCAGTTAACAACAACGTACAACAGAAGAAAACCCTGGCAGGTTTGTGACTGTATTTTAGAAAGTAAGAAAGAAGCAGAAAATAACAGATTGGCAAGGATGTAGAGAAGTTGGAATCCTTGTGCGTTGTTGGTGGGAATTTTAAATGGTGCAGCTGCTAGTGAAAAGCAGTTTGGCGGGTTCACCAAAAAATGGTTGCAGGGATTTGGGGAATTGAATGGGAAGCAACTACTTAATAGGTTTTGGGCTTGCTTATAGGGTGATAACACTGTTCTGAAACTAGATAAAGGTCATGGGAGCACATATTGTATATGTATTAAATGTCATTGAATTGTTTGTTTTAAAAGAGTTTATTTTATGTTATGTGCATTTCACCCTCATTTAAAAAATAATAATTAAAAGAAAGAACTCAGGATGAAATTCTTTATTTCCCTCTATGCTTGCCATATTTTATGGTTTTAATTTAAAAATATACTAACAGAATCATAACAAATCATACCTTTGGTTATTACTACATTGGGGTTTTACTAGCTGTCATGCTAATGGGTTTTCCCATCATTTTCACTTGCTCGGTACCATTCAGATCTCAGTCCAAGGCTTTAAGAACATTGCGAACAGCTGCAGTGGGATTATGCATCTGACCATCAATGATATGCCAACTCTCACGGACAACTGTGTAAAAGTAGGTAGTCGGAACGTTCCATAAGATGGGCATGTTTTCTAGTAATGTGAGTTACTGGAAAACATGAACGAGATTTAAATCCTGTTTTTGTTTGTTTATTTCAATAGGAGGAAAATCATGAAAAAATTTATATATATATGCACACAAACAATCCTTAGAAACTTTGTTTAACACTTAGGATATTTTTGTTTCAGTGATGTACCTAAGCACAAACTTTATCTTTTTCGAACTACTATTAATGTATGATTTTTTTTCAGCAGTCTATTGTCTTAGATTTTCACATACTCCCTCATACTCTTATAACAGAGTCCCTGGGCGGTGCATGTGGTTAAGTGCTCAATTACTAAGCAGAAGGTTGATGGTTCTAACCAACCCAGAGGTGCTTCTGAAGAATGCCTGGTGATCTGCTTCTGACAAACCCTGATGGACTAATTTTACTCAGCACATTTGGTGTCACCATGAGTTGGATCAACTCAATGACAGTGTTTTTGTTGTTGTTGTTGTTGTTGTTAGTCTTTGACTGAATTCTGATTCCTCTGCATTACTCAAATGTAAATGTACAAAAGTATATTGAACAAAATGCCCATTTTCTTTGAAACTGCGAAACTTCAATAGTTAATGTAACTAAAATATTGAGGAAACAAAATGACCTCATTTACTTTGCTAAGCTTGTTGTAGACAATGTAGATGAATTTAATTCTCTTTTTACTCCTGAAGGCTTTAGTTGAGAAGTGCTCTCGGATTACCTCCATCGTTTTCATTGGGGCGCCTCATATCTCCGACTGTGCTTTCAAAGCTCTTTCCACTTGTAACCTCAGAAAGATCCGATTTGAAGGTCTGTGCTATGAAAAGTATGGTTCCGCATCTTCTTAAAAAAAAAAATGTTGCTCTATATTTGTAGTTTTGGATATCTTATGGTCCTCTGGGTTAAGCATTGGGCTGCTGACCAAAAGGTTGACAGTTAAAACCACTAGCTGCTCCCAGGGAGAAAGATCAAGCTGTCTGCTCCCACAGGACTTGCAGTTTCAGAGACCGTATAGAGCAATTGTACTCTGTCCTGTAAGGAGGCCACGAGTCAAAATCGACTCTCCGGAAGTGGGTTTTGTTGCAGATTGAGAATTTGTTTACATCATATAAGGAGGTTTATGAGTTATCAGCATTATTTTTTAGTTTTACTCTTAGGGCATTATAAATGTTTTATTTGTCTTATCCTGTGTTTTGTAACAGGAAATAAGAGGATTACTGATAGTTGCTTCAAGTTTATAGACAAACATTATCCAAATATCAGGCACATCTACATGGTGGACTGCAAAGGAATAACAGATGGCAGCCTCAGGTCACTCTCGGTTTTGAGGCAACTGACCGTGCTGAATTTGGCAAATTGTGTAAGGTAATGAAGTTATCTAGTCATTTCTTCAACACGGATACACTGAGAATCCATGTGTGTTGGTCTCCCTCCCAAAGGAGATTGCTGGTTAGTGGGATAAACACAATATGAAGGTGAAGTACAGAGTTCTGCGGAAGCATAAGGGGGTATCCAACTCAGACTGGTTATATGGGGGTACAGGGAGCTTGTCTTGGAAACCTCAGGATATGAGAAATCATAGGTCCTTGTAAGATGAAATGAACTCTGAGAAACACTTGTGATCTGCCTTTCTTAAATGAGAATTCCCAGTTCACAGATTTCTTTCCTAAAAGGGCTTTCTGACTTACATATGGGGAAAATCTTACTAAATGTTTTTATCTTGAATTCTGGTTAGATTTCTCCTTTGTGTGGATTTTCTAACAGATGGTCAGATAGCAAGTCCCTACTGTAATGCTTTCTTCAGTATTCTCAAATAGTAATGCTTTCTAGTATTCTCAAATAGGCAGAGCTTGAGTTTTTGCTGAAGTCTATTTCACAACGGGTATTTCAGTTTCTGTCTTGTATAAAATCCTTATGATCTTTAGGGTCAGATAATAATTCTTTTCTGCTATTTCACAGAATAATTTTTAATCCCCAATGGACTAATATTTAGGAGAGCATATGTCCAGCCAGAATAGATTAAAATGAGTTACACAAAATCTTAAAAATCCACATACTCTATTATTTAAAATATGAAATGTTTCAACAAACTGATGCAGAACAGGAGGCACTCTCTAGTCTTCCAAGAAATTTGAAAGAGCTGGTGAATGAGCGGGAAGAGATCCATATTTGTGGCCATTCCAGAGAAAGGTGGCCCAACAGAATGCAGAACTGGAAGTAATTACTAATAAAGATCAAAGAATACAGCCTTCACTGTGGATTGCATCTTAATGTAAAGAAAACAAAAGTTCTCACACTGGACCAATAAACACAATCATGATAAGCAGAGGAAACATTGGAGCTGTTAAAGATTTTATTTCACTTGGATCCACAATCAATGTTCATAGAAATGGTTGTCGTTGTTGTTGTTGTTAGGTACCATAGACTTGGTACCAACTCATAGCACCTTATTATGCACAACATAAGTTCATAGAAGTAGCAGTCAAGAAATCAAAGGACCTGTTGAATTGGTCAAATCTACTGCAAAAGAACTCTTTAAAATGTTAAAGTGAAAAGATGGCCCTTTGAGGACTAAATCATGCTTGACTTAAGGAGATTTTTAATCTCCTCATATGCATGCAAAAGCTGTAGAATAAATTAGAAAGACCGGAGAAATTTTGATGCATTTGCGTTATGGTATTGGTGAAGAACATCGACTATGCCATGGACTGCCAGAAGAATGAACTAATCTGTTTTAGAAGAAGTACTACCGGACTGCTCCTTGAAAGCAAGACTGACAAGATTCCTGTACTTTGGACATGTTCTCAAAAAGCATCATTCCCAGGGGAAGGACATTATGCTTGGTAAAGTGGAGGGTCAATAAAAAAGAGGAATGAGGTGGATTGCCACAGTGACTGAAACAATGGGCTAAAACATAACAATTGTGAACTTGGCAAAGGACTGGGTAGTGTTTTATTCTATTGTACGTAGAGTTACTATGAGTCAGACCAATTCAACAGCATTTAATAATAACAACATTATTATGGTGAGGCAACATGTGACATGGAGTAAAACATAGGGTTTAGTATGAAAACAAAACATGGATTAGGAAATGAAACTTCTAGCCAAGAGTCAGTGAGGAACAGAGGCCTCCTGACAACAGACACATGAGTGAGCTTGAAAGCAGACCTTCTAGCCTCAGTCAAGCAGTTAGGCAAGTGAAGCCCAGATGGCATTTTCATTGTAATCTCATGAGAGGCCTTGATCCAGAACCAGCTTGCTAATTTACTGCCACTTTTCTGAGGTAAGAAACTGTGAAAAAATAAATGTTTGCCACTTCAGACCATATATATATGTGTGTGTGTGTGTAATTGTTGTTATTGTTGCATGTTATCGAGTTGGTTCCGACTCATATTGTTGTTAGATGCTGTCAGTTAGACTCACAGTGACCTTATGCACAACAGAATGCAACACTGCTCAGTCCTGAGCTACAACCATTGTGAAGCTCAAGCTCATTGCTGTGGTCATAGTGCCAATCCATCTCATTGGGAGACTTCCTCTTTTTTGTTGATGCTCCACTTTACCTACCATGATATCTTTCTCTAGGGACTAGTCCCTCCTGATAATATGTCAAAAGTATGATAATATGTCAAAAGTATGTCTCGGTATCCTGGCTTCTAAGGAGCATTTTGGCTGTACTTCTTACAACACAGACTTGTTTATTCTTTTAGCAGTCCATGGTATTTTTAATATTCTTCTCCAGTACCATAATGCATCAATTCTTCTGCTGTCTTCCTTATTCATATCCAACTTTCACATGCATATGAGGCTATTGAGAATACATGAAAATACTATGGCTTGGGTCAGCAAACTGACATCTTTGCTCTTGAACACTTTAATGAAGCCTTAATGCAGCAGATTTGCCTAGTATGTCATTTGATTTCTTAAATGATACTTCCATGAATGTTTATAGTTACCCTTGACAACTTCAATTTTTTCTCCATTTATCATGATGTTATTTATTGGTCCAGTGGTGATGATTTTTGTTTGCTTTACATTGAGGTGCAACCCATACTGAAGGCTGTGGTCTTTGATCTTCATAAGATCATTTTGATCTTTGCTTTCAGCAAGCAATGTTGTATCATTTGTATATAGTAGGTTATTAATGAGTCTCTCTCCAATCCTGATGCCACATTCTTCTTCATATAATCCAGATTCTTGAAATATTTGATCAGCATACAGAATGAGTAAGTATGGTGAAAGAATACAACCCTAGTGCACACTTTTCCTAATTTTAAATCATTCAGTGTTTCCTTGTTCTGTTCAAACAACTGCCTTTTGGTCTTTGTACAGGTTTCACAGGAGCACAGTTAAGTACTCCGAAATACTTATTCTATGCAATGTTGTCCAAAGCTTGTCATGAGCCACACAGTCAAAAGCCTTTGCAAGGTCAATAAAGCATACGCAATTATCTTTCTGATATTTTCTGCTTTCAGCCAAGATCCATCTGATATCAGCAATGATATCTTTTGTTCCACTTCCTAGTCTGGATCCTGCCTGAACCTCTGGCAGCTCCCTGTCAATGTAATGTTGCAGCCACTTTTAAATTATCTTTAGCAAAATTTTATTTGCATATAATATTAATGATATAATCCAATGATTTACCTCTTTTTGGATGGGCACAAATGTGGATCTCTTTCAAAACATTGGCCAAGTGGCTGTCTTCCAAATTTCTTGGCATAGAGGAGTGAGTGCCTCCAGTGCTGCATCAGTTTGCTGAAAGTCTTCAATTTATATTCCATCAGTTCCTAGATCCTTGTTCTTTACCAATGTTTTCAGTACACCTTGGACTTCTTTCTTTATTACCATTGGCTCTTGATCATTTGTTATCTCTTGAAATGATTGAATATGATCCATTTCTTTTTGGTACAATGACTCTGTATTCTTTCCATCATCTTTTGATGCTTTTTGCATCATTTAATATTTTTCCTATAGAACCCTCCAATTTTGCAAGTCGAGGTTTGAATTTTTTTTTTCAGTTCTTTAGCTTGAGAAATGCTGGGCGTGTTCTTCCCTTTTAGTTTTCTAACTCCACGTCTTTGCATATTTCACTGTAATACTTGACTTTGTCATTTGAAATTTTCTGTTTAACTTTTTTACTTCCTCATTTCTTCTGTTTGCTTTAGCAAGTTTCAGAATTTCTTCTGACATTCATTTTGGCCTTTTCCATCTTTCTTGTCTTTTTACTGACCTTTTTCTTTTTTCCTGTATGATGTTCTTGATGTCATCCCACAACTCTTCTGGTCTTTGGTCTCTAGTGTTTAATGTATCAAACCTGTTCTTCAGATGATCTCTAAATTCAGGTGGGATATATTCAAGGTCATATTTTGCCTCTTGTGGACTTGTTTTCATTTTCTTCAGCTTCAGTTTGAATTTGCATATGAGCAAATTTGTTTCACAATCTACCCCTGATCTTGTTTTGACTGATGATATGGGGCTTTTCCATCATCTCTTTCCACAGATATAGTCAATTTGATTTCTGTGTATTCCATCTGGTGAGGTCCATGTGTATAATTGTCTCTTATGCTATCTAAAGAAGGTATTTGAAATGAACAAATCATTGGTTTTGCAGAATTCTGTCATGCGTTCTCCAGCATCATTTCTATCACTTAGACCATATTTT